AAAAGATAAAGCTTAAATAATAATCAGTTCAGAGAAAGAGCAAAGGAAAAAAAAAAACAAATCATTTAATATCTCTACAACAAAATTAGTACAGATCATCAACCTAGTAAGACAAATGTAGATAATACAGATCACCAACCCAATAAATGCAAGGAGAAAAAATCAAGATTCACTCATAGACGGCATGAAATCAGCCCCAGCGAAGATAGAAGCATCCACATAGAATCCACTTTTTCGGCAAAAGAATCGAGTAAAGCGGGAAGTAAAGATCATAAATTTTTTTAAAAAAAAAACCCTATGTAGTAGCCAATAGAAAATTACAATAAATTTCAACGATTTTCAAAAAAAAAAAAAAAAAAAAAAAAAAAAAAAAACAAATCATCAGACAACAAATTCACATGCAGCTATAAATGAAGAACATAACATATATGCCAGCAAAAACAGAGGGAAAACTAAACCATCAAACCGACAAAGAAGCAGCCAAGAAGAATCGAAGAATCTTCCACCAAAACCAAGGACATCGAAGAGCGCTCCACCAAAGCCACAGTAGAAATCATATCACAATCACAAATCACGCACTCAAAGAGCCCAGAAGACAGAGCAGATTAAAAATGGGGTTTCATTTCCGCCCAGATACGATGAGAGAACCAGACAGAACAAACACATCGAAGGAGAAACAATGAAGGCTAGGGTTTCCGTCGAGAAAAGGGCAATGATTCGTCTACGATTGATTTACGGATTTAAAATTATTTTCGGTTTAAGATTTATGTGTGATTTTTATGAAAAAAATATTATAATAAATTATGAATTATAATACAAATTCTCCTACTAAACATTTTGGTCGAGCAAACAATGAAGCCTAAGAAAATTACGCATAAGACCCAATCAAAGAAACAAAGAGGCAAACAAAAACATGAGGGCATAAACGTACAACCACAGCATTAGTAGGGTCGATAATATAAGTCACGATATGACGACGCGACTTAAAAACGACACGAATTTTATGAGTTAGAGTTGAGAAAAAAGAAGTTCGAGTCAGAATTGGATCGACCTGAAATTGACACGAAAAACACGGGTCAATTTTAGGTTGAACCCGCCTAACCCGAACACGATACGAAACTCGTAAAAAACTAAAAAATATATATATTTTTCATTTCATATTTTATTATGAACTTGTGATATCATGATAGTTATACTCAAAATTTTATACTATTATTTGCTTAATTTCAATGGATGTTATTGTAATTTAGCATGTTATGAATTTTGCGTTATTTCTAATATGTAAAAAACTAAATAAAAGTATACAATTTTTGTGTCAATTTCGTGTCACGGGTCATTTTCGGGTCGTGTCGTGTCAATTCGTAAAGTGGTCGTGTCGTGTTCGTGTTGCGATTTTTAAAAAATTTCGTGTCACAGGTCGTGTTCAGGTTGACTATAAATTTAAAAAGAAACTATCAAAACACGATACGTGACACAAATTACCACCCCTAAACATTAGGGCCCGAAAAAAAAAAAGCCTATGCTCAGGATAACATTAACAATCGGAATGGGGAGAAAAAAAGGCAAAATGGTCATTGCGCGATCAAAGGGGTAAAATCGGAAAGGTACTGTTCAGTGCACAGTGAATCTGACATAATTTATATATAAAAGTGTTGCGCGGAGTAACCGACTTCAAAAGTTGTATTGGATCTAATTAATGTATATTATTAGGGTAGAAAATGAGCACCTAAAAATGCTACAAATAAAAAAAATAAAAAATAAAAAAAAAAACTATTTGTCGCGTCAACATATTTAGAATATTAAATACAACTCTAACGCTATCATACTAAAATAGCAGCAGTAGTCATCAACAATCGTCGATATCCTACCATGATACTGCTATTGGAATTTCTGGGTGGTCTTTTATTTATAATTTTTCTCCTAAAGTCTCACAGATTATGTTATGTCATTTTGTACTACAATGTGAACACAATATATCCATATATCATGAATTTATCCTATTCCAATATCGGGTGGTGTACATGTCTGCCATGATAATTTGGAATACCATGAATTGTTTAACTTTTATGGATTTGTTGAGGCTTATGTAGGATGAAAATATTTGTGATACTAAAAAATTCTGACTACTGGTTGCTGACCACCTGTATCCTACCATAATACTTAGAGGTATAACGTTTACTAAAAATTCTGGAAACTGGCCGGCGACCAACTGTATTCTATCCGTAGAGGTATTTCACCGTGAGACTCAAAATTCTGACAACCAACAACCATGAGTATCCAATTATGATACTTGAGATGTCTCATCGTGATACTAAATTTTAGCAATATGATAGCTAGATTTTTTGTTATCGATGATAGCTAATCTATCGTGGATTTAGGAGGAGAAAAATGATTATGGTTTGGGATTTCAAATTTGAACTGAGCATATAATCTACAAAACAAATGAGTATGGTTTAGAAGAGAAAAAATGAGTATGGTTTGGATTTCGAAAGAGAGAAATATGAATTAGATTTTCAGTGCAAATTTTGGATTATGGTTCAAATCGACAAAACAAATGAGTGTTTTTATTTTATTTTATTTTATTTTATTTTTGGAGGGCAAAAGCAAGAGGAAAAACTGACAGCTTGACCTTTTATGAGGGGCAACATTAATTTATTTCCATGATGCTTTGAAATTTCATACTTGACCAAACATCGTAAGGCGCTATTTAATCATAATAAATTTACATGCATATGCTCTCGAATCTCCATGTCAACTTGTCTATATGTTTATTCTCTTTTAATTCCCAAGTTATAGAAGATTCCAACTTGAGTTTAATCCCTTTTCTTTAAAAAAAAAAAAAAAAAAAAAAAAAAAAAAAAAAAAAAAAAATTGACAATGCACCATCTTGTGTAATTACTTTAAGACGTAGCAAAGCAAATGAACTCTTTTTTCATTTCTAGAAAGAGTCTTGGTGTCACTTGTGAAAGACGCAATTCACATTTCCCACCATATAAATATATACGAATTACAATAGTAAGATTCCTTTGATGTTTACGGCAAATTGAAGGTTCCTAAAAGTTGACATTTAACGTCTATTGCTTTTATGGCAAGCCTCTAGTTTATTCCAATTTGTGGCTATCCACCCGCTATTGGGAAAAAGTTTTAAAAGATCAACACACTTTCGTATCTTGTGGGGATGTATTTCTTTAAAATGCAACAAAGTGGATCAAATTTATCATTTTAGGAATTTCTCTAATAGGATGTGAAAATTGAATTGTCAGATTTATATTAAAAATTAGATGTTCTCCATATCTTTTTTTTTTAATTTAATATGATTTTAGCCAAGTCTAATAATCAAAAACTGCTACTAACAATAAGAAAGTCTACCAGAAAAAATCTCTATCCTTTTATATATTCCCTGAATTTGATAAATATGGTTTCAAAGAGTATATACTAACAAATGTTTGTGGCCACAAAAATTGCACAATATCGTGCCAATTATTCCATGTGACCAAATTCAATCATATTATATCAGCCAAAAATAAAACCCAGTTGTCTCACCGTCTCAGATGTCATTGTTAATTCTTTCTCAAATTAATTGTTGATTCCTCTGCTAATTTTCATATAAAATTTAATTTATTCTACATTGGATTTTTTTTCCTATTCCTATTCTGACACGTAAAGTTTATCCTAATATATCCATGCATGATTAGAATTTAGTATTTGCTATATGGTAAAGTTGAACAAGTGAACAAGCATATATATATGAGGTTGATTATAATGGAAATAAGCTGGAAATTCTATTATACTACGTTTTTTTAAAAAGGTTTCATTCAAAAAATATAAACATTAAAGGAAACAAGATTGCTATAACAAATAAATAAGTTATGGATAATGAACAAAACAATTACTATGAATATTTCTTCATTCACTGTTTCTGATTGGCGTGCATTCATTAAAAGTTTTCTAATTGCTTCGGCATTGATTTTGTTGTATGTATGTTGATTTTCGCTCGCATAAAATCTTTCAGGTATGACCTCTAAAATTTACATATCTAACACCAGACCAGAAAATTACCAATAAAGCTAAATAAAAAGCTGCAACCATATAGAAATTAGCATTAAATTAACCACAAATTGAGATCTAAGCAGACATATATGTTTGCTCACAATAAAAATAAAATAGTTTCACAAATAGATCATGAAAAGAGAAAAAAAAAATCCTATCGGAAATAGTGACCATTTGTTTATTTTTCTTTTCCTTTTGGAAAAGATTGCTATTTAAAAAAAATAAATAAATAAATTAAAGATTGTATATGTTATTCAAACGGAAATATCTTTGAGTACATCAGATACAATAAGTGGTGAAACATCCCAAACCGGAGATATAATATTCTAAGTTAAATATAAGAGTAAATTATAGGGATGATCTCTAAATTGTTTAAAAGGTGAAAGTTTGATCTTTAAATTTTTTTTAATGAAACGAAACTTAAACCATTTAAAAGGGTGTAATGTAGAGCGTGTTTGTTTATGTTTTTGAAAACGTTTTTCATTTTTTTTGAAAATAAAAAAATGAAAATGAAAAGAGAATTGTGTTTGGGGTGATACCGTACAAAAATTAAAATCAAAAACGTTTTTGTCATCTTCTTAAAAATTGAGGCATTTCTCCGAAACATTTCCTCTGTTAGTTATATCGTATATAATGTTATATTAATATATTTATTTAATATATTTAATATTATTATTTTAAATATTATTACATGTTTTTAAAAATTAAATCACTAAATATAATTTTAATTTTTTTAAAATTAAAAATGATCTCAAAATAAAACTATTAAAATATTTTTAAAAATAATTTAAAAATAAAAATAAAAACGTTTTAATTTTTATTTTTATACAAAAAATAAAATTATTTTAAAACAATTTCTAAACGCACCGTAGTCTCTACCGTCAATTCTTGTTCAAAATATAACGCCACAGTGCATGTGATCCATATTTTAAGGGTATACGTGTAAAATTACCTGTTTGGGGCACATTCCTCTCTCTCTCTCCCTCCCTCCCTCTTCTTTCTATCTCTCTGTTCTGCTCTGCTCTACACTTTCTCCCTCCTAGGGTTTCTGTTCGTCGGAGTAGTGGAAGCTGCAATTACTTCCTCCCGGAGAAAAGCTGTCTTCTCGCTGCTCAATGCTTGATTCTGAGCCTTTCAGGTTCTCCTAAATCAGCTGGTGATCACTCTCTCACTCCCCTCTTCGTTTGTTCATTTGGCTCGGTTTCTGGTACATCGCTAGGGTTTATCTTATCCTTTGTTTGGAAATCTTGCTTTTTTTAGTTTCTTGAACCATTTTTTCCTCTTTTGTTTGGTGTTAAGGGAAAAGAGGTGGATTTGGCTCCTCTGAAGTTTTGATCGGATCTTAAGTGGGAAAAATGTCATCGAGAGGGAGGTCGGATTAGCCTCCGCAGCCGTAGAGGCGGATCTGGCGGACGCAAACCGCCGGGAACCTTGGGGAATCCATCTTCGACAATGAGGTCGTTCCGTCGTTGCTTGTCGAGATTGCGCCGATTCTCTGTGTTGCCAATGAGGTCGAATCGAGCAACCCCAGGGTCTCATCTGGGCCCTTTCATTTTCCTTTTTCTTTATCTTAATAGTTTTGTTTCTCTGAGCTGAGCATTTTTAGGTGATTTTCTCATCTGGGTACTTTTTTTTTGCTTTCTTCTCTTTATGGGGTTTGGATTCCGTGTTCTTGCTCTTGCCCATATGTTGTGGCATTTATTGGCAATTTGATGCGTTGTGATCTTTGATTGTTTTCTGGGAAAAAAAGGATCTGGGGTTTGCTTGAGATTGAATTTTGAACTTCTGGGGTTTTCTATTGAAGTCCTGAAAGTGGTTTGACTTTCTGGGTTTTGGGAGAGAGAGAGAGAGCTACAAGGTTACTTTTGTCTTTCCAGCCAAAAGAAGGGCTCACGTGAGCAAGAAATGTACTATGCCGTTATATTTTGGACGGGAATTGACGAAGGACTACATTACATCTTTTTCAATAGTTTGAGATTCATTTTGTTAAAAAAAAGGTTTAGGAATTAAACTTTACTTTTTAAAGAGTTCGGGGACCATCTATCTAATTTACTCAAAATATAATATTGATCCTAGAAGACATAGAAGTTTCATTGTTGCTCACAAAAACAACCCTCGATTTTCAGTTTTGAATGTAATTGAATTCGAACACTATTTATGGAATGTTTAGTTGGAGGATTTATACCATGATTTGAATTATGGTTTATGATTCGTTATAGTGTTTTTTTTTTTATAAAAAATACACGTAAATAAAAAATGGTTCAAATCTCATGATTTTAATTCATGAACCAAACGTTTTCTTAATGTTCAAAAATTTAACACATTTGATCATGTCATTAGTGTCCCATTAGTTTGTAGATGGAAAAACGCATATAAATTGCACGTTCTCATTTTCATTTTTAACGACAATGGTACTAATTAATTGAGCAATTAATCTAAGTTCTAATCACCATTCACGTGCGCTTCTATCCACAAATTGACGGATCACAAACTGAAAGTTGGGGGACATATTCGCCCCGTTCATTTCGTTAATTCGAGTTTAGAATTCGAGTTTTGTTATAGTAAAAAATTCTCAGAAACAGTCACATCTAATTTTTTTTACTACAGTAAAAAGCTCTCACATAAAATCACATCTCAACTCAAATTAACAAACTAAATGAGCCCCAAACAAAATTCATTACGCGAGGGCCATTTTTGTCAAGGACCCAAAATTTCTTATAGATGGTAGAAATCCAATTTTTGTTTCTATCATTGAAAACCACTGGTTCTGAAAAGCCTTTGCATGATTGTAATTCCAAGTTGTCAATTGGCGAATTAAGTAGAAGGGCATTTATACTTCTGGTTTTTGGCAAGAACGTCATTCTCTCATACATATGCGTGAAAGGGACTTGTGATGTTGGACAAAAAAAGAGAAAATGCCAACGTTTTCCAGAGAAATTTTTATGATTCGCTAAAAAAGTAAAGTGAAATCATGCTTGACATGAACCGTGTCTTCCGGCTGTACTTAGATCAATTTGTGATCGTCTTTATTGATGACATTCTGGTGTATTCGAAGACTTGGGAAGAACATGAACTTCATTTGAGGATTGTTCTTCAGACTCTTCGTGAGCACCAGTTGTATACGAAGAAGGAGAAGTGCGACTTCTGGCTGACGAAAGTGAAGTTCCTTGGTCATGCGATATAAGGACAAGGAATTTCTGTGGACCCTTCCAAGATTGAGATTGTGCTACAGTGGGAGAGGCCGAAGAATGTAGCGGAGATTCGCAGTTTCCTCGGACTTGCCGGATATTATCAATGTTTCGTAAATGACTTCTCGAGCATTACGGCACCGATGACTCGGTTGACCAGGAAAGAAGTCAGATTCGAATGGGACGCTGGGTGTGAACATGCCTTTCAAGAATTGAAGGTAAGGCTGACCAGCGCACCAGTTCTGATTATACCCGACAGCGAAAAGGCATATGAGGTATATTTTGACGCCTCGGGGAGTGAACTTGGTTGTGTCTTGATGCAAGGTGGACGTGTCGTAGCCTATGCATCTCGCCAATTGAAGCCACATGAACGGAACTACCCCACTTATGATTTAGAGCTGGCAGTGGTGATATTTGCTCTGAAGATATGAAGATGCTATCTCTATGGAGCAAGGTTTCAGGTCTTTTCTGACCACAAGAGTCTGAAGTACTTGTTTACTCAGAAAGATCTGAACCTCAGATAGAGGAGATGGGTGGAGTACATGGAAGATTATGACTTCACGTTGCAGTTTCATCCATGAAAAGCTAATGTGGTAGCTGATGCCCTTAGCAGGAAGGCTACAGGAATTATGGCGTCATTAGCTTTGGAAGACTGAAAAATGACTGAAGTTGTGAGCGAATATGAACTTCAGTACCACGAGGATTATAACCAGGCAATGGTATATAATCTGATTTCTGCACCGACCCTTGTGCAACAAGTTAAGCAGAATCAATGGCGAGATCCTTATCTCCAAGGAATCTGGATTCGAATCCAGAATGGAGAGCAGCTTGAGGATTGGAGAATCTGAGAGGATGGGACGCTGTACTTTCACGACCGCCTAGCTGTTCCTAAGGTGGATGAGATCAAGAAGGCGATTCTGCATGATGCCCATAAATCGAGGTATGCTATCCATCCGGAAAGTACCAAGATGTACCAGAACCTGAAGAGGCAGTGCTGGTGGAGAAGCATGAAGAAAGACGTTCGTGAGTACGTCTCAGAATGTGTAACTTGTCTCCGGATTAAAGCTGAACACCAGAAACTAGTTGGAGAGTTACAGTCTTTACCTGTTCCGGGATGGAAATAGGAACACATCACGATAGATTTTCTGATGGGACTACCGAGAACTGAGCACAAGCACGATGCCATCTGGGTGGTGGTGGATAGGTTGACGAAATCTGTGCATTTCATATCGTTTCATGCGACGTATTCTCAGAAGATTCTAGCAGAGTTGTACCTGGAGCATGTCATGAGACTTCACGGTGTGCCACTCTATCACGTCCGATCATGACACTCGCTTTAATGTAAGGTATTGAAAAAGTTTCCAGGAAGCCATGGGAACAAAGTTGAACTTCAGCACAGCATTTCATCTTCAGACTGATGGGCAATCTGAAAGAGTCATTCAGATTTTGGAGGATATGCTTCGTGCTTGTATTCTGGATTTTGGCGGAAACTCAAAGAAATACCTGCACCTTACTGAGTTTACGTACAATAACAACTATCAGGCAAGTATCGGTATGACACCGTTTGAAGCTCTGTATGGTCGACCTTGTAGATCACCTGTGTGTTGGTTGGAATCAGAGGATCGACTCACTACTGGACTAGAGGTTGTTCAAGAGAACAATGAGAAGATAGCTGTGATTCGGGAACGATTGTTAACAGCTCAGAGTCGTCAAAAGAGCTATGCTGACAAAAGGCGTAGGCCTTTGGAATTCCAGGAAGGCGACTTCGTTCTGTTGAAGGTTTCACCACGTAAAGGAGTTGTTCGTTTTGGTGTGAAAGGGAAGCTTGCGCCAAGGTACGTTGGACCATTCCCGATCGTGCAACGAGTCAGTATCGTGGCGTATCGTCTTGCCCTGCCGCCTGAGTTATCTCATGTACATGACGTGTTTCATGTCTCCATGCTTCAAAAATGTCAACCTGAGCCGGAAGCGGTGGTGTAATGGTTTAACGTTCTGATACAATATGACGTGACATACGAGAAGGCACTAGTTCAGATTCTTGATCGAAATATGAAGAGCTTGCGTCATCGTGAGATCCCACTAGTGAAAGTGCTATGGCAGCACCGTGGAGTTGAGGAAGCGACATGGGAGCTTGAAACAATGATGTAGGAGCGGTATCCGCATCTGTTTGCATTTTGAGGTAAGTCCTAATTTTGAGGACGAAATTCTTAAAGGGGGGTAGAGTTGTAACACCCCGTAGAATTAAATGAGATTAATTAAGGTAATTAAGATTTATTAGTGTGCCTGATCTGAATTAATTAATTGGTTATTAATTAATAAATGTTTCTGACGTGTAAATTTAAATAATTTTAAAGTATTTAAATATTCTCAGTATTTACATTTTACCCAGAAATATGTAAGGGCACATTTGGTTATTAATTAACAAAAATAAGGTATTCCTTTTGACTTATCTCTCTCGATACATGTAAATGAATTAATGGAAAAGAATATCCAGCATATTGCTAGTGGACAACCAACTGATATTGAAACACATGGACATGCAATTGTTTGTAAGAGTTGGATGTGATATCACTGTATCCCCCACATGGACTTGGTCATGTTGAATTTGGCACTTCAACAACTTGAACAAGCAAAAACAGAGAGAGAAAAAGTAGCAAATTCAAGCATCGAGTCCCCACTAAGGAGACGCCTACTAGTACTTGTGGTCCGGATACAGATGAGGGTGTAATAAAGAGAAGAGGAGGGCAATTAAAAAGGAAAATGTAAAAGTGGGGGAAAATCGATAAATAGTCTGCATGATATTGACAGCTGAAATTTTAATAGACTTGCCGACTAATGCACCTACCATTGATTTATGCCCGGTTTGATTGATTGGTTCGAATTGTGTTAATTTAAAATTTTTTATTTGAATAACAAAAATTTAAATTATATGATTTAAATTGTACTTAAAATTAGTATTTAGATGTACAGTTAAAATTTATTTAAACTGAGTATAAAATTTAAATTTGTGTTTAGTATGTATAAAAAGTAGAGAGAATGAAAATTTTAAACTGTTAAAAAATTATTTGAACTATTAAAATAGTGGGGGAGTTAAACTTTAAGTTGTACAGTTTAACTCAACTTGAATGGAAAATATAATTTAGACTGCGGGCTTACCAAACACGATTTTGAACTTGATTCACAACTTGAACAAAACTAAACTAAGCCAAATTAATGAAACAAACAGGCCATTAATATGCATTTGGCCTAGTAGAAATTTGAGATCGCGTTTAGAGAGAAGGGAAAAAAACTCTTAAAAATAATATTAGAGACATCAACTCAAATCTCAATTTTTATACACCAACTTATATAGTAATGAGTTGTCATTGTTTAATTAGTAGATGCAATCTACTATCATTAATTGATGTGACAATGTTTTAAATACCTATTAATATAAAAATAATAACTCACATGCTATATTAATTGGTACAAAAAAAATTGAAAATTGAGTTAGTATCCATAATATTATTTACTTTAATGGTGTAAATTTTATAACGTTAGATTTGATCACAACTAAAAAAAATTGTATAAAATAAAACAA